GGATAAAGATGAATATAAGAAAATGGATTAATTATAGTGACATAACCGTTTATTACCATAAAAACATTGAAGATGTTGAAAATTGAAATTATTTTTCAGACAATTTATACGTAATTTTGCAACCAAAAGTGTGGGAAAAAAGTCCCTAGATACAGTATGCAGATCAGAACAAATTGGTGGTCGTCCATGCCGCGGTCGAATGCATGATACCATTCTTGATTGGGAGCATAATTTGCCAGACAGTGATTTGACGCTATCTGACCTTCATTCCAGGTAAGTCATAAGTTATTTTAATGTGATGTATCAACATTCATAGTAGTTTACATTACAACAAAATATTCAAAACTATTATGCATGTAAACAAAAATTACGAATATAATAGCATACATGATTTTAGTATGGCTTGCGGAATGTCTCAGGTTCTATAATAGAGATCTTTGTGAATACTCATTTAAAATAGAATGTTGTATGTTGATATAATATTTATACCGATGTTTTTTTAGTGTCGCCGATTTAAGCATATGCTTGGGAACAACGTTACAAATTATTCCAAGCGGTAATCTACCTTTGTACACAAAGAAATACGGAGGTCGTCTTGTTATATGCAATCTGCAACCAACGAAACACGTAAGATTATTAAATGATATAAATTTGTAAAGATGTATAATATTTTTCGGTTTTATCTTCGAAATAATATTGTACTTGTAGGATAAGAAAGCTGACTTAATTATTAACGGTAACGTCGACGAAATAATAATCGCGGTTATGAAAAAGTTGGGATTGGAAATTCCGGAATATGAAAGTGGCATGGACCCGACACGAAATTCCGACACAACAGCTAAAGAAATGGACTGGACAATTCCAACTAGCAGAATAAAGGAGATGAATATGCTCTATAAAAAGGTGTGCAAACCGATGCGAAGGAAACGGAAAACGTTTATGTACGAGAGGGAGAGAACAGATACCAAAAGAGAAACTAAAGCCAGAAAGCAAGCATTTACAGTTAAGCAAGAAATTAAAAAGGAAGATAATATAACCACCTCAGGTGAAATGTATAAAACCGAGAATGATCGTGTTGTTGACAACTCTGTTAAGACAGAAGAGAGCGCGGAAGATATTGAAACGTGTAGATACTCAATGGAAGATGCAACAGAGCACAATATTGATCTGAATCAAACTGTGTAGCAAGTTTCAATGAAGTAATAATTTTCCATTCTAATATTTCGATTATTCTCAGTGTATGCTACAATTACTTATGAGTGCATATTGAATGATTATTCATTGTCGATATGCGATAGATTTGCTGACAGCATTCAATAGGCATCGCTGCACATTTAGCGTTAAATGTAATTCTCTATGTGTGTGTGTACTCCCTTTCCTTCTCTTTCCCACTTTTTACTTTTTGTTTTTCTGCTTTGTTTATAAAGAAATGTACAAGTATAATTTTAAAAGACAGAATATTAAGATTCGATATATTTATACATTTTAAATTATAATTTACATTCAGGAAGCAATAACAAATCTGCAATGAAAGGTAACTCGATTTGTGCAATCTTTGAGTGCATCCTAATTGGATGTAAAACATTTAACATTAAATGTGCAATAAAATACAGATTCGTAATTTGTTTCCAGGATATATCACTTATGACAAAATCAGTTGAAATATTCCGGTAGTTGTATATATTCTTATTAGTATCTACAAAATTTCGTTTATGTACTACATCTGCTTTTTACAGCTAGCCTATATATTTACACATGCATATTAGACATTGCGACGATTCGACATAGAGAGATTAAAAATCTCTTGATGAGCAACGTGTTCCAGATTTTTCGTGCATAATGCGATACTTTTTCCACTATAGATTACTAATAAGATTTTTCGATAAAAGAGATCTTCCTAGAAGATATTTCGCCAGTAAGAACTTCCATAAGCTTTTTTTAATTGAGAATAGCTGAATTTGAAGTAGTTGCTTGATCCGTAATGATAAGAATACACAGGTATGAGAGCTGCCTAGTATATGAATAATTTATGCCCAATGGTTAAAAATAATGTCTTCGACAGATTTTTATATTATCTATTGAAGAACTAAGGATCTTCCTATATAATCATTTCCTCTTCCATTCCTTTCGTAAATATCTTTTATTCTGCAAATTTTCAGCAATTGATGCAGAAAATATATGCATCTTGTGAAGAACATATATCTCCCTTAAGATCATTTTGAACGTCATAGATATGGCTAAAGTAAAATATAAACCATTAAAAAAGGAGCGAAATAAAAAGATGACCCTTTTAATATGGCGTTACGATTGGATCATAAAGAAATGATGAATCCAATATCGTTTCTACTGGCGACATTTCCTGTGTAACTTTCCTAAATATTGCTTTCATAAATAGATTAGTCCAAGTCCCGTTGATTATCCTCAATCTACGTTCGCCTTACAAAAATCAACAGCGCATACGGGACCTATTTGCGCATTATATTATAATACAAAGCACATGTTTGTATAAGTAAGCTAATAGCACTATTTGCTACAAGCTGATGTTAGATTGTCCGATAAATTCAGATGTTGAATTTTTAACAGAGTGCGCCTTTTTCCATATAGTGTTGAAGGGAATGTTGAAAGTAAAAGTTTTAACAATGTCTCGCAGTTAGTACGCTAATAAACAATTTTCGCGCGTAGATTATATAAGCTGCCACTCATAGAGTGCATTCCGATAGAATGCGTTATAGCGAATCATGTAATATTTATATGTACATAGTGATGTTTGCTTCATCGTAATACATGACTTTATTTAAGTAATCATTATTATTCGTCAGATATAATATTCGAAATAAAAAGTACATCTATTGAAAAGAATCACAATGCATATAATTTTTCCCAACTTCTCCAACCAATAAAAATTTAATGTATATTTTATGGAAAAGAATATATCCAATTATAAAATTTAGTATACAAGAAAGATCAAATAATCGAATCTCATATATTTACTTATATATATATAAAATTTATATATACACAACTTGCTTATATACATAAAATAAAAAACGGGGGATTCCCTTATACTTATAACATTTATATTACGCGGGGATTTTCATATTCATACATTTATATTACGGCAGAATGTTACCATTATATAAAAATTAATACTTCCCTAGAGAGTATTTAAATTGAAAATCTCTAGATTCGAATGACTTTTATAATTATAAAATTTGTTGTGGTAACATGACAGATATGATACAATCTCATAGGGATATCCAGTAAATGACGATAACAAATCGAAAAATATTTATATCTAATATTTATATCTATTTCTAATACTATCGATGTTACTTGCTTATCTTTCCAAGAAATATTGATCAGTATTATTGCAATAAAAGACCGATTTTTACTAAAGGAAACAATAAAATATAATATAAAAAAACATTCTTTTTTTCTTAAATAATAATTATAATTATTATAATTACAATTATTTAAAAAATTAGATATTAATTAAATATTAATTTTATTACATTGTGCCATATATATGATACATAACTTTATAATTATTATCGACTAATAATTATTATATACTTTTTTAAAAGAGATTATTGATTCCCTGGCTATAAACTAATAGCATTTTTCAATTGTTAATTTCGATTGATTCAAGATTAATTAAACTGAATACATCATATATCATTAAATTCAAATTCGATTAAAATAACAAAGAAAAAAAAGTCTAAAATGTTAAATTATTAATACATTCACATTGTGAAATAATTTTTATGTAATTATGTTTTCGACATAAACAGGGAAAAATATGAATATTTAGCAGGTAGGATTAAAACTTAATTTCTTTTTCTTTATTTTTTGAATTTATATATATATATATATATATATATAAATGTGTGTGTGTGTGTGTGTGTGTGTGTGTGTGTGTGT